GCATTTTTGGAACAGGCGCGAGCAGAAACAGATGCGGGAAAATGCATCCACGCGCACAGACACAGACACACACCCCAATAGTTCAGTGCATCCGCATGTTTACCCGCATTCCACACCATGTGTGCACACAGGCACACACTCTCTCTGAAAGTCACATTGTGATAGCTTGAAATGCCTTTTATGCAGATTGAGTACAAGCCCTCAGCTGATCAGAATCTAGCCTTGAATTTGATATGCGAGTGAAAGGACTAATGTCATTTCAGCTGGGCAAGAGCGCCTGTCACCCCCCCCCCCTCCCCCCCTCCACATATACACACACACACACTCACGCACACAATCGCCTCAGCTGCCAACGACAGCCAAAGCAATTGACTTTTACCATTATTTTGTATAAGAATGCCACTTGCACAACACATGCTTTTTAAATTCATTTCACTTGTTATACTTTGCAAATAGATTCACTGTGACACATGTCAGAGCAAGTTTTTCAAAGTTATGACGTGGTTCTTTTCTTTGGGAATCATCAGATGCCCTGGTTTGATTTTTACATTCATGAATAAAAGGTTTGAAAAATTGATACCTGGTGGACAATGGCATGGTACAATGGCTTGTGGAAAAAAAACACACTGTGTATGGAGATTTGCTATTACAATCACGTTGAGCGGTGCCAAGTTATGGATACACCTGGTGCTCACACTATAAATGTCCAATTCTACAACAATGTTGGACACATTTCTAATGGAAAGGACTATGCAGCAGAATGCCACCTACTTGTGTGTAGAACCCTCTTTGATATTCTGTGCATGGCTGCTGGCTGAGGTTAGAAAGCGGATCACATCTATTACCTTCCTAATTCTACAGCTTGGCCTGTGCATAATAAGATGCATTTTCTTTGAAATGTTGATTGCAGGGGGGAGAAGACCAGAAAAGAGACAGGCTAAGTAATCAAAACATGTTGGAAATGACTTAATGTGAGAACCTTCCAGTTGCAATGTTGGCCTCAGATGATAATTGGGTTAATGAAAGTGTTTTTAACTGCTTGGGTTCCTGCCTGGTGGCAAATTAAATGTTTCCGCTAATTTGCACCATCATTGACTCCAACCACTTTTGTCAAGCACAATTACATCCAAAAGTCAAATGTTATGTTGATGATCACTTTTGTTGTTTATTACTATTATTATTATTTAGTTTGTTTTTGTTGGAATATTCTTTTTTTGAACGTTGTTCTGGAGTTTCTTTGAAACTTCCTAAAGATTTGACCTCACCATCATTTAGACATTAAAGGTCTGGAGTGTTGGGAATAGAAGATGTAGTGTGCTGTAACTAACAACTCACAGTCTCTATAAATAGGTAAAACAGCCTCAGTTTTTCTTCTTTTAGCTACTGTGGCAACACAGCGTTACAACGTGGCTAAACACTGAGGATAAAGACATGCGGCATCTATGGATGTAAAGTACTTTCTCCAAGGCAATAAAACCAATATGATTCAAATTGCGTACAATTCCACATGAGGGGCAATTATATCAACGGTTATGCTAAATGTTAATCCATCCATTTTTTACGTCGCCTTTTCCGTGAAGGGTTGCAGTTGTGAGTGGGTGAGAGGCAGGGTACACCCTGAACAGATCACCAGTCCATCACAGAGCAAAATGAGGCAGCCATTCACACGCGGTCACTCATACCGGCAGTTTTAGAATCACCAATTAAACGAACATGCGTGTGGGAGGAAGCTGGAGCCCCCGGAAAGAACCCATGCAAACTCCTCAGCTGGTATTTGAAATGGGGCTGACCACCACACCATAATGTTTCATGAACTTTTATAAAGATTTTAGCACATTAATGGAAAATTTAACAAATTAATTCCACAATATCCATTTGAATTACATTTTTTGCATCTTTTTTTCTTTGCATGGCTGGATTATACATATATCTAGTCATTCTAAACATTATTGTATACAATCTACAACAATAACTAACACAATATGTAAAAATCAGTATTTGAAGGAATGCTTCTTTTTCCGTAGTGAAAACCAAGACAAGCTTAAACATATAAAGGCCATGTTCTGATAGAGCCCAAGTACCTGCAACTACTATGGTACAGGCATAATCTCTATTTAAGAAAATAGTGTACATACAATAGATCATTTAAATACGCAGGTATCATATTACTCATGTGCTGTAGATATGAGAATGAAATCCAAGTGTTAGTCATGTCTATAGACCCTGGCAGGCGTGCTTACAGGCTGGCTGTAAAGTGATTTTCTTACTTGACCTTTTCTTTATATGTGTTAATGTGCTGTCATTGCATTTTCCCTTTAGACACACATGGTTCCTTTTCTTCAAAACCATTTAGAAGGTCCTTAGATAAGGAGTTTGAAAAGAAGAAAAAGCGATCATGATTTATTTCTACTGTGTGTAACTTTATAATCTAAACAGTAACCACTCTCAGGGTTATGTCATAATCTATGATACATATGTGTCAAGGCATTTTGCAATAAATTTTATTGGGCAATCAGGGGCTACATTTGTTTCCTGATCTTAGACAAAGAAAAATGTGTATTGAAAATGACAGAGCACAGTTTGGGAAATGACAAAGAAGCTATTTGCCTTCGATGGTAAAAGAGGAGAATCAAAGAGCTAAACTGGATTGAATTTAAAAATGTGGCCTGAAGAAAAAGAGAGGGAAAAAACAATGATAAAATGCAGCACTGTTGTGAAAGAATAATGAAAAATTTCTATTCTCCTTGAAGCCATATTTATGTATTACCTGTATATTCATCAGTTCTAAAAGAATTGAAGATAACATAAGAGGTACATTTAACAACGACTGTGCTTTTGTATTCCAAGTCTGTTATTTTCTAAGATTCAAGATGCATTCAATTTTCTGAATCGTTTTCTGAATCTGAAAAAGTGTTATTGTGATGCAAAGCTTCAACGCAGTACAGCAAGATACAGTCGGAGGAGAAAACTTGGTAGATGGAAATTTCATGCCCAAGTTCCTCCCTCTATGGCAGCCAGGTTTTTTTTTTTTCTATTTTGAGTCCTTTAACTCAAAACATAATGTTCTTGGAGGGGAAAGGTTTGATCTTTTTTTTCCTGTCCCCTTCTGCTCAGCTTTACTCTTTCTTAAATTCTTTGTATCGCACACACACAAACACAGGGCTCTAAAATCATTTAAACCTGTCTTTTTTTAAGGTTTTTACCTAACCTAACCAATGTTCAAATAAATATTGTTTTTAAGAATCAAAAATGTCAAAACATTCCATCTTTTCAGTAGACATAATTTATTCCTGCTTATTTTTCTGTAAGAAATATTTTTACTGTTTTCTGACAATTCAGACAACTGTGAGGTGCATTAAAACATTATGAGATAAACAAATCAGGACGGGTGAAAAAATCAGGAAAAAAACTTGGAAAGAAAATGTGCAAATGTGTAAAATTAGAATAATAAGGCTTCTGTAACTCTAAACATCTGACATCATGTCCCAGAGGAAAATGCTGCTTCCACCACATTATTAGGAGGAAGTCTTACTGGATGCTCTGAAAATCTCCAGAAACACTGAAGCAGCTAACAGACCTTTCAGTTTTGCAGCTTCAATGAACATCTTGTCAACAAATGCATTATATACATTTTCTCGAGCCACTGACTTAGTAAGCTATTAATAATTTCTCTCTGGGATCCAATTTCAGGATTTTTGTGGACCTGATCTTTCAGCCCCGTGCGCAGCCTTATCTGTTCGGCTGCCATGGATACGGTGGGAGCCCTCTGAAGGGCCCTCTCTCTTTCAGTCTCTAAATCAGTTTGATTCTCGTGGGCTTGTGGTAGTTTAGCTACTACAATTAGCCAAATGTGTGTGACTTCGACTTATACGGTTTGAAAGTGGTCTATGTGCTAATGAGATGGTGATTATTTACATACAGCTCAGCGTTACCACTTATAGGCCTGAATGAAACTTTGCAATTCTGTCAGGGCTTAATCAAAAGGAAAAAGCTGAAAATATTTGATGGCTTTCACATCTATAGTGTGTTCATCTGACGCTTTGCAAAACACTTTTTCTGCTTTGCAGCAGGATTTCCATTTGGGTGAAGCACAAAGCTCTTTTTCTCCGAGGCCGCTGGTGCTAAGGTTTCTGACATTTACAATACACCCTGCACTTTAATAAGTGTTTGAATTGTCACGCTTCCACCCTATGTAATGTATGTTTTGGGCTTAACCTGTGCAATCATAGATAAACCACTCAAAGAAATCACATCTCAGAAACTGCACAAAGGCTTACACGTCTGTGTAGCATGCTGTAGGATAGTTGACAGAGCTGAGTACAACGGAGGCTCCAAGAAAGAATAATAAGGACATGTGAAATACGTGAACCAAAAAAAAAGGGTTTCTGCTCACGGGATTTTACTGCTGACTTGAATGCCTGATTTAAACATCTTCAGATTCCAGTGAAGCGTGCCCTAAGCAATACTTTACCATTCCCTTTCCAGAAAGGAACCAGATTAGATGCAATACAACCATGAACGTGTCCCTGTCTTCTTAAGTGAACCTAACTGATTCCAAGTTATTGGCTCCTATCGATCTGTGATGTAATGCCTACTCTTTGACCTCTGAATGGTTTTATCTATAAAGGAAGATACAAATAAAAATGTCTGCCACCGCTCTACAGCAAAAATACATGATTTTGACTATAAACAGTGATATGAACCTGTCCCAGCGGTCCTTCACAGAACCAATTTTGATTTACAGGAGGAAAACTATGTTTAAAAATGTATTCTGAGCTTGAACGAATTGGAACAACAAGGACTCAAACAAATTAGTGGGTGATGTTTGCATGAACACAGATGAACAGTTTATTTCATTTAAAATACTCACACCTGAATTCCATCAGGTGTGCTCTCTGTCGATCAATAAAACCAGCAGCAATAAAATACTGTCCGGATATAGGTTATGTTCTTTTTTATTCCTGGTCTGCGTGTGCTTTTTTTTTTTTTTTTTAGTGCAGAGGTGACTGAGAAAGTGATGTGAGGAGACAGAAAATTTCCAGGTGACTCTTCAAGTCCCATTGGCGAACTTTTTTGGCGGCTGGAATTATGTGCGGCACAAGTGTGAGCAAAACCACGGCCGGGAAATCGGGTGGCGACAAAGCAAACGCGAACACAGGGCCACGCGTAAGGCCCCGAGAATTATCATTACAAACAAATCTGGGTTAGCGCCGCAGTGCCACAAGGTTAGCTTCCCCTTCATGAAACTTTAAGGAGGCGTCGATGTTTAAAATATGAGATTTAGCGATTGCTTCTAAATAAATGCAAAGCTTTGTCAGCTGAATGCTGCGCCGATCACAACTAATGTCGTCAAGTTGCCAGATCATTTCCTCTCCCTAACCCCGTTGTCTGCTTGACACTTCCCCGCTGATTGATGTGTGTGTTGCGGGGTAATATCTTTTAATCGTGGGTCAGATATATAACCCAGCCAATCCTTTTTTATTTTTTTTTTATTTGATATCCTTGTCATGATTGATAGATATCATCAAAATTAAAGGCTCAACTTTGAGGTCAGGAAGAATGATTTGCTGTCAGTGCTTCTTTAATACTGTGAGGAAAGATGGCAAGTCGTTTCTCTTTGGGGACAGTGAGAGAAAGAAAAAGTGGATAAGAGGGAGTGAGGGGTGAGGCCGACATGGGATGGTGAAGGATGCGAGAGCTTCAGGAGAGCATCTTATGAGGTTATTAGGTTTTAATCAATATTGTATATGGCCAGAAGATGATTGGAAAACAAACCTAATCTGGCCAGCAATACGTCTCTCATTCATCTCCCTGCCTGTCTCTCTACTGGATCTGCCTGACTCTTATTGCCACTTTACTACATTCAGTGCACATCCACAGCATATGCCAAGTTTCTGTACCAAACCCATTAAATGAGGCAAACAAACAAGCGTTTGCGGTGTCAGAGATGCTTGCGGTTTATGTGACTCTTTGGCTTGTAGAGGTGTTGGCAAACAGGTCTTCACGCTGCTGAAGAAGCTCCAGGATTCTTTTTGGCAAAGCCGGGTTTACCGTGGATTATGACTCCATGGTCTCAGGACAGTCAGTAAAGTCATCACAAAAAATCTAACTGTATATTAATTTGTGTCCGGTCCGTTGAGAAATGCTGTTTCAACATATGCATTCAACCTGTTATAAGTGTGTACTAGTATTTATACGCCAGGGAGTTTTAATAAGGATGCCAGAAGACATGAAGTCCAACGGTTTCACTTTTGTTTGCTTTGTCATTTTGTTTCCATTCACTCAAATCAATTTTAGATTTCATTTTTATCTATAACGGTTCAGGCCTCCAAAAAACTGCCGGGTGGAAACATTTATATCACACCTCACTGCGTTTCCCATGCCCTTGCAGATTAAATATGAGCATCTTGTGGAGGGTTTCGTGTCACAGTTGAAACCTGTGAGGGTACAAGACCCAACTGCTGAGGCTGGCAGGAATTAACCGCTAACTTCTGCAGGTTAACATGTTGACTTTTGGCCTATTTTTCTTCAAACACCGTGCTCAGTCTCCTTGGGACGTTACGCTTGCTTTACAGATATGTAGCAGGAATCACACTGCAAGTTTTCACTCACCTGTAGTAGCTGAGAGCAAAGCATGCATGCCAAGGTAAAACATACTCAAGATTTGAGCTTACACACTCCACTGAGCAGATTCTTATGTTCCTGCTCTTATAATGATAGCCATCAAATTGAAAAGCACCATTGAAATAGCAAAAAAGAAGGAAAAACATTTGTTTATAATGTGGAAGCAATTCAACGATAGCAGTTTCTCCATGTCTGAATGCTCAAACCTGCAGGAGTTGATTTGCAATGCCTACTTCAATTTAACTCTCTCTTTGTGAACAACTTCATATTATGGCAGGAACAAAATCAGCAAAGGTGCTGAATGGGATAATTCAGCGCCTTTGCTGAATATAAAAAAAAAATTAAACTATCCATGAAACCGATAAAGATTTTGCCTGTCTGATTTTACTCTTATTGCATTTTTTTCGTTTAGCTGTTGCCTAGACAATATATGTCAGAGAACTACACTACAGGGCAATAGAAGCTATGGCTCAGGATAAAAATGGGTCATTTCCTTTATATCTGTGATTTTTTTTTCTCTTGTTATTTTTTGTGTTTCCACCGTTCTGGCCTTTTGTTGACTAAAAAAATGAGGATGTTCATCCAGAAATGCACATCTTGTGTAAACCCTTTCAGTTTTGTTGTGAACCTGCTGGAAAGACAACAGTGCACTGATCCAGAACATTGTGGAAGAACTCCCACATGACAAGGGAACAATTCGGGTTTTCCTACAGAAGCAAGGGGTGATTGTTCTGGTTAATAATAGGGTGTTCTGGCTGTTTTTTTGCAGTCGGTTTCTTTGATGAATTCTGAATGATAATCAAGTGAGAGTAAAATCTGTAGGCACTGCATGCACAATACATAATTATACCTTTAAAATGAACATTTCCATACGCATTCACACACACACACTTGTGACCAAATACCAATTACGAGCAATTTTGCAAAGCTGAGTAATGATACTTACACAGCAAACTATTAAACACAGGGTGGGTCAGACCATGTAGGTGAGTCTGTATTAAACTGAATGGGCTACCAGGGAGGATTTGGGCCTCCTCTCAACAACTTCATCGGCTTCCAGACTGATTGCACACATGCACGAACACATGTCTTTGTGGATTGAGTCACCCATGCATGAACTCAGCAGGCAATGCCGCGCGTACATTCAATCAGTTTTGCCCCCGCCATCTTTTCATCAACTGGCCCATGGATCACTCAAGATCTAATTTCCCACAGCATGAGACGGTATCACTGTGGACAAGACCGTAGGGGCATTTGTTGAATGCATAATGCACAGCTGTCTACCTGATATCTAGTGTGTGTGTAAGTGTGTGTTTAATCTATTTTCCATTTATTCGTCATTTCCATTCGCGCAGTCAAACTGGCTAAATAGCTCTTTGCAGTCAACACAAAGTTGGTGGAAGCAGTGTCAGCATGTACAGTGAGATGGTAGTGAGGAGGCGAGGGTTGAGGGAGATGCGGTTTGTTTGCCAAAGGGCATCTTATTGCTGGTTGTTTGGGTGAGGAATAGCACTCTGTTACTTTGGCCCTGCTGTTTCTTTCCTGCTGTGTCAGCATGTTTTTTTTGCACCGATCTGAACGCTGACCTTTCCGTCTCTGAGTGCCACCACCATCCCGCTTTGGTCTTTCGGCATGGTAACAGAACCCAGTACAGACATGCCGGGACAGAGTGAGATGAATAACTTCATCCGTGGAGACGGTCGGGCTGTATGGACAACTGTTTAAAAAGTTCCACCAAAGTAAGCGGGGGAGCATTTTTGCCAAAGAGAATTTTTTCAGAGCGACCTTGCAGATGTCACAGAAGGTGCCTGATATTTTAAAATAAATTACAGCTTTGTGAGAGGAAGCTCAGACCCACGGAGATGACAGAACCAACCAGCACTGTAATGGAGGAGTATTTTAGATTAAATTGACAACTATTTCTATGATGATTTCAACAACTGAATAAATCAGTGTTGGCTCTAAATCTTTAACACCAAAAAATAACATGGCTTACAAAAGCAAGTCTCTATTTCTGACGTGTTTCTCATGGACAAACTTATACTCTATAAGAGTCAAACAGTTTTGGCAAGCAGCCAATTCACTTGAGACAACACAGTGCAAAACAAGGAAAGAATCAGAGTTTTTAATGACTTTGTTTTTCCAATTAGAATGCTTCTCACCTTTTTGAATTTACACATTGTTGGAAAAAAATTTCAGAGGACTGTTTAATATGTTTTTTTTCACTATTCCATTTCATTTGTGCTGATTGCCTGGCGCAGAGACTAGAAAAAAATACACACATGTTTTTTGGTTCTTTTTATATTAGCTGTTGCAATTGATTAAAAATCTATCATGGTTGTGTCAGTTTTAGGAATTTTAGTGTAAACTGTAAGTATAAAGAAAGCAGAGATTCTTCAAATTTATCATTAAAATATATTTTTTTAAACAATGCCTTCTCCCCTTTTTTTATATAATTACAAAATTAAAAAATATAACAATTTCAGATAAAAAATTAACATTGATACGAATAAATGATGGTATAGTTGTACATAATGTTGGGATAGGTCCAATGTTCCATATTAAATTGTTAAAATCAAATAAAAAAAAATAAAAAACAAAACTTGGATATCTGTGGCAATGTAGGAACCCAGATTTTGATCTAAAACATGCACGCACACACACACCCACACACATATTTACAAGAGGACACCCTAAGAGATGGTACTTTGTGTATTTGGAGGAGGACCAACACATTAGAGCGATTGTACGAGAAGCGCCTTTGACCACAGCTCATGAAGTGCATAATTGGTCCTGAATGTCCAGTGATGAGGAATAACACACTGCACAGGTGTGTGTCGGTCTGCCTGTGTGGTAGTCAGAGTGTTTTTTTTTGCTTTAAAACATGCCTCTAGAGTAATATATTTTTCACCAAGAAGTGAAATATGATGCTACCACATCATGACAGGGCAAAGATGGTCATTTACGGGTCGACGCAATATTGGAAAAAAGCCGGGGCAGGGAGGTCTCATCTGCCTTTCAAATCAGAAAACTTGCATACTAAAGCTGTGAATACATTATCATGTTTGAGTTTTTATCCCTATCTCTTTATCCTGGTTTACTGTAAAATGTTATGCTGGATTTATCAAGACAAAATGACTGATTGTGGAGAAATAACAATTCATTTAAAAACCCTAATATAGTTAATAATGAAGTATCCCAATCCAAGAATATAGATTCAGTGAGCATTAACAAAACACAGGGTACTGATTAATCGTATTTCAGGATTTAAAGATCAGAAGCAGCTTCTGAGATTTCTCTATTTGTCAGCGTCTTCTCTCTTCTTTTTTTCATTCATCTAAAACCGCATGCTTATCCTCTTTTGATAAGAGCAGCACTCAGTTGTGATGGGAGAG